GGGCCCCTCGGCGGGCGGGCCCCGCGCCGCTGCCGACCGTGAGTGCGAGGCGGAACCGCGGGGACGGGCTGGGCTGGGCCGGGCCCGGCTTCGGCTCCGTGCGGGCCCTCGGGATGCGCTGGAGCGGCTCCGGGGGAGCGGGAGCGGGGTCAGAGCCGGGAGCGGCTCCGGGCGAGCAGGAGAGAGGTCGGGCTCTGGAGCGGCTTTGGGGCAGCAGGAGCGGGATCAGACTGGAGCTCTGAGCGGGGCTGACCGCCGGGCCCGTCCCTGCCTTCCTGCCGTGCTTGGCTGGGTGAAGGGTCCTGTAAGCTCAGCTTGGCTTGGACCGGTTTTTTACTGCTGTCGTGAGGTGTAAGGTGTTTGTTTTGGAGCTGCTCTGTAATCCGCCGGGCCTGTGAGGCCAGTGGGTGCTGCTCCAACTGGTCTTTCCAAAATTCATTTTTCCCCTGTGAGACCCACTGAGGAGCAGCAGATGGAGCAAAAATCTGATGAAAGTGTGAGCACTCACCGTCAGACTCTTGGCAGTGTCAGGGACAGTGGAGAACTTCGGCTAAACCTGTGTCAGTCGATGCCACAGTGTGTCTGTTACATGACCCAATAATTACCTAAAACCTTGAAGGCTGATAATTTAGAAAATAGTAACAATAAGCCATAGGGAATCTAAAACGGGATCTGGAGGGTCTCACATTAAGATACTCAGTATAACTACGTTATGAAGACCGCTTTGATTTTAACTGTTGTTTATTTCCATTCTAGATAAGCATCTGATAAAAAAAGACGCTAGAAAGAGAATTGTAAGTATTTGCATTTTGTTCATAAAACAAAGTAAAAAGTGCAGCCTCTTTCATTGTAATTCCATTATAATTGGAGTGTGTATGTATTGGCAGCTGTAGGCCATAGCTGTGTCACTGTGTAGTGGTGGCTCTGTCACTGGGTCATACCCTCTGCAAGGCTACGCTGGTCTGGTTCTGAAAATGGTGGTAAAATTGTGGGAGATCTGTGCAAAAATTGTGAGGGCTTGTGTCAGGACAGGTGGCAGTTTGGGTTCAGTGTTGCATGTGTAGCCTTGCCATTGCCTTATAACCCCCCGGACTATAAATTATTTTAAGGCAGTTGAAAAAAAATTGTCTTAGTTTATTTTAGTTGTTTAGGTTTCTGAAAATAAAAATGTGGTCCCTCTTAAGGTTTAAGCTATCTGTATAATGGATGCTGAAGTTATTACTCCAGCTGGCACTTATTTGAAGTGGGAGTCAGGTTTCTGAGGTGGCCTGTGACAGAGTGGGGAGCAGCAGGTGACCCTCTGGAGCCCCTGGGACACTGGGAAGGGGAAGGAAGCTGGAAGCAGGACAGGGGCTGGCTGTGGGGGTAGCAGGGAGGGGGAAAAGTGGAAGTCTGGGAGAGTCACAACATCCAAACGGATCCCATGGAATAATCTGTTCCCAGCGTGGGGAGCTGGCGTGTTGGAGGGGCAGGGGGCATTTCTAACGCTCTGTCACTGCTCTGCCACAGTGTGACAAAGTGACTCTGCTTTTCACCAGATCTGTATCGAGGGCAACATTGCCAGTGGAAAAACAACATGCCTGGATTATTTTGCACAGACTACCAGCATTGAGGTACTGGATGCACGTTTCTTTGTCCTTATTTCCCTCACTGAGCAGCTGCTTGTCTTAGATCCAACATGTCCTTGGGTGCGAGAGGAGGGAGCAGCAGGGGCTGAGCCAGGGGCGTGCTGGGGCAGCACCCCAACCTTTTACAGTCAAACTGCAGCACAGAAATGTAGATCACATATGGTATGTACTGGATGCCAAAATACCAGAAAAACCTGTGAATCAGTGTTTGTGCCTTTATGAAATAACAGCAACCCGCAGAGCATGGGCATGTTTGGACTTGCCTGTTTGCCATTTCATGTCACTGGAATCTTAGATGGCTCTGGTAAAAGCAAAGTAGAGAATTATTATGTAAAAATACCTATGCCATGTAACAGACATCTCAGTGAATAGATGGCTTTTTTAATAAAAGGAAAATCTGTTAGAACTGTTTCAGGAGATTTCTTAGACTGATCTGGTGTTTGATTTCATGGTGCTTAGAAACAGGCTAGGGGAAGGGCAGGCTTGTTGCATTTTAAACAAAATCAAGGTCAAACCTCAGTGAACAATTGTTCTTGTACAACAGATATTAATGCTTTCCCCAACGGACTTGGCTACACATTTGGCAATAAGTTTCAGCAGTCCTCATAGAAATGCTTGGTTGCCAGATGTTTTTTGGTAATTTAACAGGAATTGTCCTTATGAAGTAATTAGCTGTTAATCCACAGGATAACAGACTTTAATTTGCCTACAGTGCAGCATTTTTAGGTAGCTACTTAAGTTCCCAGGCTGATGACATTCTCCTAGGCCTGACTCTACAGAATTATTGTAGATTTAGACCCTGTTTGAACCAGGCAGGTCTCTTGTGATTTTACCTGTTCAGGGAAAATCTGATTAATTTTGTAAAAGATTTCTATACATTTTGTTTGTTCGAACACAAAAATAAAATAAAAATGAATGTGGTAGCAATCTGATCCTCTTCCTTTGCTGACAAGTGTTACTTTATGAGAAATTAATTTGTGAGGGGATGGGCTTGTCGTTGAAATGCTAAGTACTGTCCAAACCTGTTCTTTCCCTTACATGGCACTGTTTTTGACTCAAAAAAAAAAATTCCCTCCAGGCTTATAAAGTAATCTATCAGTGTTTAAAAATGCTAAGAAGAGGCTGGATATTGACATGTCTCTATTTTTAGCAGTGTTCATTATTTTCTTTATTACCTTTTGTATTACAGAATTCAGTGCTGGTTTTTTAAGTGTGATGAGCTTTCAAATACAAGTCCTGAATACTCTGATTTACTGCACAAGTATTCCTTAAGAATAGTTGTACACTTGTAGGGTCACATTAAGTATTTTGAATGTAAGATGTGTTTAACATGGAGTAATTATTTTTAACCAGGTTTTGAAGGAACCCTTGACCAAGTGGAGGAATGTTCGAGGTCATAATATCCTGGTAAGTGGCAGAAATTATTCCTGCAGTTACAGTGGCTGTTCTTTTAGCAAGATGTGTGATGGCTTTTTATCAGCCAGCAAAACTGCTACAAAAGGTGTGATCCAAATCTCACACAGCAAAAACTAAAGCTTCACACAGCAAAAGAGCTTCTACTGCGGTTAAGACATGCATGTAATAGAAGCACTGCATATAAAGTGTGGTTTTGGCAAGGATTGTGTGTCCCATGGGGGGAATTAAAGCAATTCCCAGGAAGGTAAGCCCTGAGTGTGGCAGTTGTTTCCGTATGTGCTTGTGCCTGTTTCAAAGAAGGGAAGGAGGTGAGGTGAGGTGAGGGGTGGATCTGGTCAATTAATGTTGTTGGACTGGAGTTCTGTGAACAGTTCTGGTGCCCCCAACACAAGGAGGACATGGAATTGTTGGAGCAAATCCAGAGGAGGCCAAAGAGCTGCTGAGGGGACTGGAGCACCTCCCCTGTGGAGCCAGGCTGGGAGAGCTGTGGCTGCTCAGGCTGGACAGGAGAAGGTTGTGTGGAGACCTCACAGCTCCTTCCAGGGTCTGAGGGGATGCAGGGAACCCAGAGAGGGAGAATTCCTCAGGAACTGCAGGGACAGGACACAGGGAATGGCTCCCAGTGCCAGAGGGCAGGGCTGGATGGGATATTGGGAATTAGGAATTGCTCCCTGGCAGGGTGGGCAGGCCCTGGCACAGGGTGCCCAGAGCAGCTGTGGCTGCCCCTGGATCCCTGGCAGTGCCCAAGGCCAGGCTGGACACTGGGGCTGGGAGCAGCCTGGGACAGTGCAAGGTGTCCCTGCCGTGGCAGGGGGGGCACTGGATGGGATTTAAAGCCATTCCAGCCCTTTAACCCTGCATGAATCTGTGATCCTGTGGCTGCTGCAGGTAAGGAAAATTCAGCCCAGTGAGGAGTTGAGGACTTCTGTTGTCTTTTGGGTGGCCGAGGCTTCTTGGAACTGCTCCCCCCAGGATGTCCCTGGGTCCCAGCTGCAGCTGCACACTGGCCTTGCTGGGATGCTGGAAGTGGTCCCTGCTGTCAGCCCTGGGCTTGGGGCTCAGCCCCTCTGCAGAAACCCCACTGTGGCTGAGGCAGGGGTCTGTGCTCAGGCTCTGCAGCCTTAAATACCATCAGTGTTAGCACAGGCCCTCTGGAACAGTAAATTGTCCCTCCCAGGAGTTGCTGATGCCTTTCTGATTGTTAGGAAAGGGGTGAGGCATGTGTTGCACGACACCACAGCAGCCTTGGAGCAATGGGATAGTCTGATCTTGGCAGGGAGCAAAGCAGAAGGTCAGACCTGTGGGTTGAAGCTTTGCTGCTGGCTTAAAACTTGTCACCTCAGCCAACAGACACTGAATGATGTTTTATTTTGAGTGAAATCCTTTCTCTGCTGTGGAGGATAGATTGTTGTTTGTAAGTTCTGTGTGAGTGTGGAATTGCAGTAATCAGAAAGTGGAACAGCTACCTGAGAGCTGCTGTGAGGATCCTTTGGGAAGAATAGCCTGTGTTAAAGGACACCTTTTCTGAGGCCCAGACCATACTTAGAACCCTGTATGATTTCTGGATGCCCTGGGTGCACTGAGGATCTGTCAGGGCACAAAAATAGAGTAGGTAGGTTTTTTTCATTACTTGGTTCTGACTGTTCCATGTGCAGAATAACTAATTCCTGCTGACTTCAGTCAGCCTCCCATTCAGTGTCTGTAGGGACAGGGCTGTAATTCTGTATCTCCATTGTGGAGAGCAAATGATCCCTTCATTTTGATCAAACCTGATGTCAGCTGTTTTAGTGCACTTCTTAGAGCAATGCTACTATAGGGTAAAAGCTTCCTAAATACCCAACTTCCTGCTGTGTGTCCTAACAAATGTCCATCTGTCCTGCTTCCATCTCTGACCCCAGGCCTTAATGTACCAGGATGCATCAAGGTGGGGGATAACTCTGCAGACCTACGTGCAGCTGACCATGCTGGAGCAGCACACCAGGCCCATGGTAAGGAAACTTCTTTTGATTTTAAGAGCAATTAGATGTGGTTATGAGTGCTAAATATTTTTAACCTTCTGTTCAAGAGTTAGGATGCAGTGTGCACTCATTCTTTGTTCCTGCAGTGAGTAGGAGTTTCTGTGGTGCAGACATAGATACGCTCAGCGTGTGCACTGGGAGTGAAACCTCTGCCTCCCGCCTGCTCACGACTTCCCCAAACTGATCCTGCTGTTTGGGCACACCCTCCAGGGCTAGGCTTGTACAAATTTCTTCCTCCTTTCATGTCAGTGATTTGTCTGTAATTTCATTTTTTCAAATCTTTGGCAAATACCAAGTAATGTTGTGTTAGAATTCATAGTACTGCTTCGTGCTGTCTAGTACAAATTTAGCCATTTCTTCTGTTTATGCAAAATACTTCCACTACCATTTTCTATTCCTGTTTCAGGTGGTTGACTTCCTTTTTTTCTTGTAATTTTTTTCTTTTTTCTAATGCTAAATTTCACATCCTACCTTTTTATCGAGATTTCTTCATTCTTTTCTCCTTCAAGCACCTTTTGTTACATTCTATGCTGTCTTCCATTCCCTGATTACAAGACCTGGTCTTAGATACCATGCTTATATTTTACTGATTGTTCTTATGTTCTGTTTTCTGAGTTTGTGTCAGGGCAAACTGTTGGCGATGCCAAATATGAAAGTGACACATATAATCATTAGGTTTTTGGAAGAGGTGTTTTTCCAAGACAATAGAAATCCTGTTCTGCTGGAGAAGAAATTAATTCAAGAATTCGTGAGGATTTCCCTCTGTTTCAGTCTGAGCATTTTTGTCATTTGCTGGAGCCATTTTTGCTTCATTAATGTGCAGAAACCTGGGTGAGAAGTTGCTCTGTCAGGCCCAGGAGTGTCAGAGGATCTCCCTGCTCCAGCATGAAGTGCTGGTGGAACACGTGCAGGGCTGGCTGAGGCCAGGGCTCTGTCAGCTGCAGTTACTTCTTTTAAAAGTCCTGTTTCCTTTCTTTAATGTGTCTGATGTCAGCTGTGTGCTGTGACCCAGCAGTGCATGGGATGGAGCAGCACTTTGGGCAGCAATAGTTCCCATTGTTCTGCAGATCCCAAATGGATTGCTGCTTTTTTGTACCCTGAGTTACCTTCCACTGCTCAGCTGAATGCTGAGCACTTGGCTTTGAACTGGTGTCTGAATAACAAATCAGAGTAAGATCAGGAGTCCTTGTTTGCCTTGTGGTTCCCACCCTCCCAGTAAGTTTGTTTCTCACAAGATCTGAAAATTGTATTTCATATGTGCCACATGAGTGTGAAAAGAAACAAACATGAAAATGTAGAGAGTCAAGTTTTGTGTTGCAGATTTCCCCCATAAGGATGATGGAACGGTCGATTCACAGTGCAAAACACATTTTTGTGGAAAACCTCTATCGAAGGTATGGCATGTGGTTTTCTGCTTTACTTTCTTGGATCCATTATTTTAAACATATACCTAATCAAATGATAATTTCTTGGTAATATGCATTTAAGGGGCCTGTGAAATCTGCCAGTTCTGTGTTGGAGTGGCAGTATGTTTGGTATGGGCTGTGCTGCCCATTTCCTGCAGGACTCTGGAAAACCTTTTTCAGCAGTGCTCCTGAGTATTTAGCACTCAGTATTATTTAGACACCATCTATTGAAGTTACTGGCTCTCCAGCTGAATACCCAAATCTTACTTGAAGCAAACACATGCTGCACAGGTAAAAAACCACAAAGATAGAAAGAATAAGACTGTAGGCTGGGCAGTGTTATCCAGCCTGGCATCCAGGATTGGCATTTCTTGCAAGCAGGGTCTCAAGTCCTGTGCTCTTGCTCAGGATCAGGATTGACAGGATCACAATAGACTGCAAGCCTTGGTAGGCTGTGAGTAAAGAAAGAACAATTGTAACAGTTACACCTAGCTGCCCTAGATATAACTCCTCTGTCCCAAAGTAACTGAAATAGTGCAGGAATCAGGGTTTTGTTTGTTTGTTTGGATGGGTTTTAGTGGGTTTTTCAGTGGCCTGGAGGTACCAATCCAGTTTGTGCCACAAGGTGTCATCCATGCTGCACGAGCACCTCTCTGCTACGGGAAAGCCTTTGGAAGTGGGGAGAGAAACAAATTGTTCATCCCAGTCCACACATTGCAAGCAGCCTGGAATATCCTCATTTTTAGTTACTGGCTTCTTTTTTCATTGTAGACAAAGTGCTTTTTTTCCTAAAGACTTAGTTGCTATGAGGCTAAATCTGTTTGTGGCAACACTGTGAGTTAATAATAACAACAATTTTAAGGGCATCTAAGATGTTTTGCACTTTTTAAATGTTGAAAAAAAGGCATTTGCTTTGTTTTGTTACAGCAAGCTAGAAGGCAGCTGATAGTACCAACAGCAAGCCAAAAGAAAAGGATGTGTAAAAGGATTATAAATAAAAGAAGGAATAATTGAGCAATGTGTGAAAGTAGCTGTTTTGTGACACATTAAAAGGAGTCAGTCTGGCTGTGTTAGGTGAGTCTTAAGTGTGTGCACATGAGTGTGCAGGGTGTGCTGTAGGGGAGCACTGCAGTTCACCGTCCCTGAGTCCATCACTGCTTGGGATAGAAACTCACTCTGTTCATGTTGGACTTAGTAAAAACCTGACTTGGTAGGAGCCAAATGCCAGCAAACTTTGGAAATGTAAACGCCATTTTGTGCCTTTTGTATACCCTGTATCTTTATGGATGTTGAGCCAGAGTCCTCCCAGGATTACCCAGGGAAAGAAAGCTGTCTGTAGGGCAGGTCAATGCAGAATTGACTTGGATGTATTTGTCTTTTAGGGTAAGAACAGTGGAGCTTTTTCTTATTTCCTTTCAGCCTTCCTATTTCCCCCATGTATCCTGGAGGAAAGTAGCACAATCAGAGTTTGGCTGATGTAGATCCCTGCTACCCAGAATTGATGCGATTATCAAGAGCAGCAGTGAGCAGTGTTACCCTATTTCTGGATGGCAGATCAGGAGGGGAGGTGGACAAACAGGGATTTTGCTTTTTTCCATACTTAGGGAAATATCTTTATTGCTTTTGTTTACTTTTGCAAGTGATCAAAGCAAGTTGCCAGGGGACTGGTTTAAAAATCTGTGGAATATTTTTCTTCAATCCTATTTAAAATAGCCTAACTGGTCTTAATCATTCAGCTGGAGAGCACAGGAGCCTCCCAACTCCATCTTCTTAATAACACTTTTTCTATTGCAGAAGCGTTTAGGAAAGAGTATGGAGTATGTGTTACTGTCACCAGTTTTGTAGAGAGGATACTGTAAAATTAGTAATAATTGACACTTAGGAATATGGTAATAAGTGAAAATTGATACACTAATAAAAACATAGTATGTGATTCTTAACATGTCCTCAGTAACTCCCTTTTACTTGAGTTGTCTGATACTTTATTGTTGTTGCTGAGATACCTTTGGGACATTTGTCTCCAGCATTCTGTGCTCTGAGTTCAGAGTTAAGCATATTGAATATTTCACTACTCTTTCCACAAACATTTCTTCCAGTGGGAGTAAATTTATTGACACACTGACATTATATTTTTCCTGCCTTTTACTGTGGCTTCTGTAAGGAATTGTTAGTGCTGCTCAGTAAATCCAGCCCTTCTGGTGGCATGTCCTGGGACAGATTTGAACTGATGCTGATACAGAGAACCTGAGCAAAAAATACCATTGAGTACTTAAAAAAAAAAAAGGAAAGTATTTGGTCTTTCTGTTTTATAAACAATAGTTTATGTAGCCTTCAATTTGCATGGGCTTCTTTTCACAAATGTTGAAGTCAATGGGGAGGGATTGTGGTCAGGTGAGCAAAATGAGAGTTTGGAGTTGATCTCTGCATGCTGCTCACTGAGGGATGCCTCTTGTGTTTGTTCAGTGGAAAAATGCCAGAGGTGGATTATGCTGTCCTCAGTGAATGGTTTGACTGGATCCAGAACAACACTGATGTTTCAGTTGATTTGATAGGTAACATCTTGATGGGTCTGGAGGGCCATGTTTGTGGGTGGGTTTCCTTTCTGGGAGAAACAAATAATTCTTGTTTCTTGCCCCATAAATAATCACATTATTCAATATAAAAGTGACCACCATCAGACAGCTTGGGTTTGTGGGTGGTTCATGGGTTGGGTAGTGCCGAAGGGGAGGTTCAGTGGTGGTACTCAAGCCAGGATCCTTCCCTTCCATAGTTTGTGAAGTGAGTTTCTTCTTTGCTTTTAAAGCTGATCTTTGAACATAACTATTAACATTTTTGTTCCTGCAGTTTATTTGCAGACATCTCCTGAAGTTTGTTATGAGCGGCTAAAGACACGATGCAGGGAAGAGGAAAAAGTCATTCCTCTGGTAAGGAGTTCCTCTGATATATGTGCTTACAAGGAACTTTGAAAACAGAATGATTCCAATCTAAATACTAAAGTTGTGTCCTGAGTATATTGCCAGAATGTGGTGCAGCTGTTTCCACTGCAAACTAAACCCTGAATATTGAATTTAGATTTATTTTAAAAAAATGATCTGTCTTGCATGCTGACTCTCCCGGGTGTTCTGCTCTTGTAATCAGTGCACTGTAGCTGACTTTAGGTGCAGCATTAATCAACTGCTAATCTTCTCTAGGATGTGAAAGTCAATTGCCTTTGTACCATGAAATGGCACAAAAGCACCCAGGTGAGGCACGGGTGCCTGGGCTTGCAGGTGCTGAGGTTTCCGTGGGCACTTTGCTGTCTGCTCCCACCAGGATGTTTGTGCAGGAGAAGTGTCTCTGCTGTGGCTGAAAGGAAGCAGCTCCTTGAAACCTGTGAGCTTGGGAATCTGCTTTAAAACAAACTGTGGTGCTGGAATGGTGATTTCTGTGCCAATTTACAGCATGGCTCCTCGTGCCACAAGGCTTCTCAAGAAGCCTGAGCAGACATGAATGCAGTTCCCTCTGCAGCCCTGGGTGGGTGGCTCAGGAGAAGATCTGTGCAAATCATCAGCTGAAGATCTGTGCAAAGAGCTAAATTTTGGGCCATGTGAAATTTGGAGAATAAATCCTCCTGTAATGGATTTGAAGAGCCCTTGTGTTATTTTGCAGCTCTGCTGAAGAGGAGGGGAGCAATTATGAATGAGCAATGTGAAGTGGTCTCCATGAAGAAAAAAGCCAGCTCATGACAGGCAGGGGAGCTTTTAGAGGAAATTGAGTTACAAGAAGTGAACTGGGAATTCTAGGGAAATGTACTGACACAGAAAGTGCCTCCCATACATATTCTTTGCAGCCTTGCCCTTTTTGTCCTTACTTTGTTGTATTTTTCTCTGTAAAATCTTGAACCACATTTTACCTGTGGGAGAGAATAATGGTTGCTTGATCTTAAAAGGAGCTGAGAGCCCTGTGCTCCTGTAAGCTGTGTCTTCGAGGTCTTCCTGGAGTTAAAGTTTGTACTGGGAATTAATTTTTCTCAAAAACCTTCTGATGCTTTTTAATTTTTTGTTAGTGAAAGATACATGTTGCAGGCTTTTATGTGTCTCTTAACTACTTCCCAATGATTAAAGATTGTAATGTGTATGTCATCCCTGGGCATTTGTATTATTCCAGTGCTTCTTTTCTAGGAATATTTAGAAGCTATTCATGAGCTCTATGAAGAGTGGCTCATTAAACGTGCACTGTTTGAAGTTTCCTGCCCAGTGCTTGTGAGTATTATTTTTATTATAACCAATTCAGCATGTGGGGGATTGTGCTTTCCAAATAATAGGAGCATTGTTTAGTGGTAAAAATAAATAAATCTGCTTTTCTGATAACCTTTGTGGAAGGACAACCTCAGACAAACGTGATAGCTGTTGGTGTATAGCACAAAAGTGGGGTCTGCCATCTCTGCAGTGCAATTTGAGAGGCTGTTCACTGGGATCGCTTGCAGGATCAGCCATGGAGCTTTTCAGGGAATGCCAAATTCCCAGCAGAAAGCAACTTGGGCAAATCCCTAGGAGTATCCCAGTTTGGCTGCACTGGTAGTCCTGTTCTGCTCAAAAGAAGCCAAGTTTTACGGTGTCAGTTATTGTCAGTGTTCATCCTCTTCTCTCCAAGGTTATTGGAGCTGACCATGACATGCAGAAAATGATAGAGAAGTATGAGGAAAACCGGGACCAAATACTGAACCCAGCTAACAGACAACACTGTTTATAGAAGCCTGTGACTGTTGTATCAGAAATCACCTACTGAAGTCTGAGTTGGTATTTTTAATATTTAAATATAATGGTATTGTTTTTGCACTATGCTTTGTAGAACGCTGTGAACTTGGACCTCTGAAATTATCAGGTACCAGTCAGGAACAGAATATGAATCAATTCCCTTTGTGTTTTTAGACAAAATATCAGCTTTACTGTGTCAGTTCTGTTCAGCTAAAATATGGCATGTATCCCTCATTTCCCACTTCACTGTTGCTTCCTAGAATTAACTTTACTTTTTTTTTTTTTTGTAATTTAAAATAAACTGTTTATTACAACATCCCTCTGAGAGAGGGTACCTGAGGTTTCTCTTCATGATCCCCTTGGGGTGAATTGGGCTGAAACAACACCAAATGGCCAGGGTGTGTACGAGGGAGGTTTGTTTATGACAGAGCTTTCAGCTTGGCCCTGGTACCCAGCAGATTATCCTGAGTGTGAGCAAAGGGCAGGGACAGGATCACCAACCACGGGATCACCAACCACGGGATCACCAACCACAGGAGCACCACGGGATCAGCCCCTACCAGTCTGGGTTTAGGAGATCTTCCCTGGCCAGGTGCCCCTCCTGGTGGGTGAGGGAAAGGCTGTGGATGTGTCTCCCTGGAACTCAGCAGAACCTTTGAGCCCCTCTCCCATGACATCTCCTGGAGAAGCTGCAGCCTCAGCTTGGCTGGGATGGGACCTAGCTGATGGCTGGGCCCAGGGTGGTGGGAATGGGATCTCCTGGGATCCATGCTGGGAACAGCCCCATTCAGCCTTTTCTGATGGTCTGGAGGAGGGCACTGAGCTGACCCTCAGCTAAGAGGGGTTACACCCCTTGGGTAGGAATGGGAAGGCTGTGCTGAGGGCCCTGGCCAGGCTGGGAGGATGTGCCAAGGCCACTGCCATGAGGTCACGGGGCAAGGGCCGGGCCCTGCCCTGCAGCCATGATGGCTCCTGCGGCTCCAGGGGAAGTCTGGGCGTGGGTCACAGCTCTGGGTTACAGGCTGCACCCAAAGACCTCCGAGCTATTTTCCAACCTCGGTAATTCTGTGATTTTTTAACAACTGAATTGCAGTAGAGAGGAGGGGTGCTGCTCGTTGGGTTCTTTTCTATTCAGGTACAAAATACCACAAAGTATGGAAGGCAAGGGTAAGAGCAGGTAGTGGAGAGATCTCACAGCAACAAGGCTGGATTGTTGGAATTTTGATGTCCATGGTCAGATCAGTGTTCAGTCTCGATCCCTTGGGGTGGTACCCACCAAACGAAAGGTTCAGAGGATTGCAGACATTCCATTTAGCATGGGAACAGCTGTATCCCTCCCCAGGGAAATGATTCCTCCTGTCAGCTCTAGCTCTGAGGGCCATGCAGAGCCCTCGGGTGGAGCCTCCCTGGCAGGAGTCAGGGGCTTTCTGAGGCCTGGGTGGTCTCAGTGCCCCTCTGGCTCTTGCCCACTCGTGCTCCTGTGCTGTGTGGGCACCTTGGACCTGAGCAGGAATCTGGCTCCAGGAAGTGCTGCCCTACCCTCTGCTCCTTTGTTCCCCTTTCCAGGCACATCCCGAGCGGCCATCAGGTGCCTGAGGCACAGCAAGGCATTGACTCCTTCTGCCCAGGCTTTACACACTTCATATCAGAGGTGGGATGTTCATTATCTTATCATTGGAGGCAGCAAATGAAGTGCATCGAGTTAAAGTAGCTTTGTTAAGCAGATCTTACCAGTTTGCTCTAATCCCACATTAATGCAACTTCATGGAATTCAGGTAGTTCTTTCTGCTCTACAGGACATCACAATATAACTTAGTTCTGAAGAGAACTGTGCGCTGGCAGTCCCACTGAATTCAGTGCAAAAAAAATTTTTAAAACCCACAGTTTTTGTTAAGTGATTGCAGAACGGCCCTGAGGGTATTTTTTTCAGCTAGCTTTTATAGAGAGCTTATTTTATTTGTGTTCATGAGAACCCCAGCCCTGCTCTGGCTGAGTTGAGGAACAGTGAAAATACAGGGTGCATGGGACTGTGTTTGTTACTCTTTTCAAATGTTTCTAAAAACATCCTAGAATTAACTGATTTCTTAACTGGTTTGCCTTCTTTGATTTTACTCCTTTTTATAAAAAAAAACAACACAGGTACTTTTTTGGGTTTATGTCATGATCAGTTTATTATGACCTGTAAGTACTTGGAGAGTACAGAAAACCAGTGGGGTTTCATTCCTGGACTTGTCAAAGGAGGTGCTGAGTTGCCCTTCTCTGGGTGCTGCCCTCAAGGGAATCCTTTCACTGCAGCACTCTGACTGCTCTCACATTGATTGAGGGTATTTTTTTCAGCTAGCTTTTATAGAGAGCTTATTTTATTTGTGTTCATGAGAACCCCAGCCCTGCTCTGGCTGAGTTGAGGAACAGTGAAAATACAGGGTGCATGGGACTGTGTTTGTTACTCTTTTCAAATGTTTCTAAAAACATCCTAGAATTAACTGATTTCTTAACTGGTTTGCCTTCTTTGATTTTACTCCTTTTTATAAAAAAAAACAACACAGGTACTTTTTTGGGTTTATGTCATGATCAGTTTATTATGACCTGTAAGTACTTGGAGAGTACAGAAAACCAGTGGGGGTTTCATTCCTGGACTTGTCAAAGGAGGTGCTGAGTTGCCCTTCTCTGGGTGCTGCCCTCAAGGGAATCCTTTCACTGCAGCACTGACTGCTCTCACACTGAGTCTCTGGGTAATTTTAGGGGAATGATCCCAGAAGTCCAGAATGTCTTTTCCCCTACTGGTTTTGGTTGGTTTAGCTGGAACAAGCCAGGCTTCATTAGCACTTTGTACAGACATTTGTCAGGCACTTTGTGCAGGATAGAAACATTCAGGTATGTGGCTTTTCAACACTATCTGATGCTGCTGCTTTTGTAGGGTTGTGGTTTGCCTAAAACCCAATGCACTGAAAGAACCACAGCCAGTCAGGAATTGCAGCTCCTGTCCTGTAATTCCCATCTGACCAGCTGATTCTTTTCTAAATCACTGCAACTTAATAAGTGCACAGTGAGAGCATTTCCTAGTGAAGTACTAAGCTGGTACTAAAGCTTGTGATTCCAGGAATGCCATTCTACTGCTCTGTTATAACCCTTTAGAATTCCAGCTTAAAAGTAAGATTTTGTGTGCTAAGTAATTATCTTACTTCTTGCAGCTTCTTTGTAGGGGGATGCCAGCTATTCTTGGTACCTTCTGTTAAACTTTCAAAACTTTTTCTTCTCCAAGAGTCCAAAAGAACAAATTTTTTGGAAATGGTTCTACACGTTTGAAGCTCAGTCACCTGCAGTTTGTTCTTAATTCTAATTTCACTGTGGACAAACATTTTGCACAGCACAGAAAATGTCACTTTATGGTTTATGGTTTAGTACAGAGAATCTTACAGCCCAAAGCATGCCACTATTACTTGTCAGGACACAGCCCTCTGAACTCTTTTGTTCCTAATACCCATTTCTCACAAGCCCACCCAGAGCTGAGGGCAGTCCTGTCCCCTGGTCTTACCTTGAGCAAATTCTGTTTCTCCTACACTGCTGGAATCAGGGGATGACAGAATTTCAACCATTAGTTCTTCAAAAAGCAAATCTTTATATTTTAGTTTGTGATGTTTTTCTAGTCATATCCATGTGTGCTCCTCTGATGAAAGTCAGTTATAAACAATTAATACAACATTAGTTTCAGCCAATATTTTAACTGTACATGAAAGGCATTTTTTAGCATTTAGAAGTGAGCTCTGTATTAGTCACTGTGAAGAAAATTAACTCTACCCCAGCCCAAACCAGCACACATTTCAGTGCTACTGAAAAAGCTACTTGAAGCAGTATTAAAGTGCCTTTTTAGTTAACACATGTATCATAGAATCCCAGAATTTTTAGGGTTGGAAGGGGCCTCTGCAGGTTGCCCAGTCCAAGCCCTGCCCAGGCAGGGTCACCTGGAGCAGGTGACACAGGAGTGTGTCCAGTTAGGTTTGGAATGTCCCAGAGAGGGAGACTCCACAGCCTCCCTGGGCATCAGCTCCAGGGCTCTGTCCCCTCCAGGAAAACAAGCTCTTCCTCATGTTGGGATGGAATTTTTTGTGCTTTAGTTTATGGAAATTGCTCCTTGTCCTGCTGCTGGGCACCACCCTCTAAAGGTATTTGTATAAATAGCACTGGAGACTGTGCCTAAGCACAGCAGCAGTGTGCTTCCCTAAATGAATTCAGAGCTGTGTGTGACACCGGCTCTCAGTGCTGGGACCCCAGCTTCCAGCTGATCCAACATTCCTGAGCTTTGCACACAGCACTCCCACCTGCAGGTTATCCCTGATCCTGCCCCTGCTGTCACTGGGATCCTTCTCTGAGCAGATTTTTTTCCCTGCCATTAAAATGGCAAAGAATGAGATTTTTTTCTTTTCATTTTAGTGTGATGAACCGGCCTGCAGAAAAATTCTGTGCAGAATTAAGTGTCAGGAGCAGAGGCAAGGGAAATGGCAGCCATAGCTGGACCTCTCTCTGCTGGTGGCAGTGAACAGTTACAATGCTCAAGGCTTCTCTTGGAAATTGTGGTGCTGGCCACAAAATACTTTGGTAACAAATGGTTATATATTGGTTAGATATAAAACCTATAGCACAGGTTAATGCCTCTACAAAACCGAGTGTTCACAGAGCTGTTTCCCTCTTTAAAGCTAAAGGATTGTTATCAAACTTTCTAAACCTGTTTTCAGCTGAAGTCAGGAGGAAGATGAGCTCAGACACAGCTTCAAAGGAATGCAGAGAGTTAAGGAGTACAGTCCAGTATGGCATTTCTAAACTTCTTCCAGTTTAGAAGGATTTACCTTGTACTGGAAGAGTATTCCAGGAATAGGTCTGTGAAGGGAAATAAGAGAAGTAGGATGCCCAGCTGAAGAAACCTGTCTGGCATTAAGAACAGCCAGAAGGAATCTGACTGATGAATTAAATGGATTTAAATTTACAGAAGATTGCCTACCCTTTAAAAAGGTGACCATTCAGGTTTCCTTGTGAAAGGAACCATTAGGAATTTGTGTAACTCCTGCTATTTACTGTCCCAAAGCAGTGATGTGGTTTGGGTGTTTTCAGAACTGTTGTGACAAAGCTAATGACAACAGGATCAAGGCCACGGGTGAGAGGACAATCCCCCCAGGTAATGACAGATAAAGCACTACAGACTCAGGTGTGATGGCACAGCACTGCCTGCTCCGTTCTGTCAATGATGACATAAGGCTCCTGGCTGTCAGACTCTTGGGAATTACAGTGCTCC